TCTTCCATTGGAGATTCATATGGCGAAATATCAGAAGATGATGGATTTATCACATTTTCTTTACTTATAAGTTGTGGAACATTGATATCATCCCAACACGGAGTCACTGAATCATCCCGATCTAAAATAGATGATGAATCAGAATTTTTTTGATCTATGGGAGATAAATAAGGACTGGTATCACTTTTCCAATCTCCTAACACTTCCACAGAACTTGGGGATGTTACTAAACTATCTGGTAAAATTTCTACAGATTCAGAATTAACTTTAGTTCCTGTAGCTGGACTGGCTAGATTACTAACAGAACAACTGTCTGAATCGGGAGATGTAGTATATTCAGTATTCGATCGAGAACCAAGAATTTCAACACTTTCCAAACTTTTCTTATCATTTTCTGGAGATACAAAGGATAATCTATTGGATGTGGAGATAGGAGAATCTGAATCATATTCTCGAGTTTCTTTGTCTTCAAATCTCATTTTTACATCTTCCATTTTATTATTAATATCTTTCATTTCCTTTAAAGAATATTCTACTATTTTAGAATTATTTATATTACTATTTGAATCATTAACCTTATCATCTTTGGCAAAAGTTATACTTGTATCAATTGTTTCTAATGAAATTTGTTTTAAATCATTACATGTATTAACATCTTGACTAAGAACATTTTGATCATGAATATTTTTCTCTTTGCAAATTTCTGCTTGTTTAGGTTCTTTTCTAGGATTCAATGATTTAACTTTATAATCTTCTGAAAATGATGATGAAGATACAAGTTTTTTTTCATTTTCAATAGGTGTAGTTTGTAAAGATTTGGAATGAATATTAGCTTTTGCATTATGATCCATTTCATTAAATTTTGGTGATTCAAAAAATGATCCAGTAAAACTACCCCATATACTACTTGTAGCTTCTTGTTTGGATTCTTTCATTTTATCACGATGTGGCTGAACATCATGATGAACATCACTTTTTAATCCCCATGATGCAAAAAAATCTGATGTATCTTCCGTATGACTTTCCAATGGTTTTTGATCCTCATCTTTGATATCTAGTGCTTTATCAATTGTTTTCTGAGCTTCTTTCAAAGCAGACTTAGCCAAATTGGCAAATCCGGTGGCATCAAACCAGCTCATTCTTTATTATATCTAAGAAGTATATAATCATGATAAATATAAAAAAAATGAATAATACTAAAATAATGTACTTTTGTTAAACATTTATTATACTATATTAAAATTATATAAAAAATTATATTTATACAAAAAAAATTATATAAAATTTTACAAAGAAGAGAACAAAAAGAAAACAATATAATAATTAGAGGTTAGAATATATAAAATAATATTTATATTACATTTGACATTATTTTTCACATATACTTGAAAATCCATGTATATAATAAACTAAAAAAAAATTACACAATTTATAATTAAAATGAAATATAATGAGAAATGTGTTTGTATTTTCGTGCTAAAAATTCACGATAAGAAAGCAAAAGACACAGCGTTTAACACTATATTTTGACGTAACATTGTCATATATTATACTTGATATTAATTTAAAATTATTAACATTATCGTATTAATTTATTTTATGAAGAAAATATTTAATTATTAATAATATCAATTAAATAATTTAAGCAAGAAAAAAAATTTATTTACTTACAAATTTATATATACTTACATATTTACTTGCATATTGTTTTAGAAAATTTTGTAAAATATAAAATTAATGAAATTAAAAAAATAAAAAATTGAGAATAAAATGATCTTGAATTATTTTTATCACGAATTCATACTAATTATTACATTAAATGAAAATATTGATATACACACGATAACATATTCTATAAATATTCTTTTTATATAAATTATAATAATTAAATTAATCTATTTGTTAAAATTTATATATAAAAATATATAAAAAGAAAAGATATAGAAAAAAATAAAATTTATTAAATATTTGTGATAATAGCATACTTGCATTCTATTTCTCTTTTGGAATAATTTTATAAATGGTAAAAAATATTCGATACTTTTTATTAATTTTTAATATAATATTTGAATATTTCGATGTGCCAACAAGATATGCCTACAAATTATACTATCTATCTATTATGTATATGTACTTACACATGAATGTAGTTTATCGATGCTTTCAATCATAAAAAGTTTTTCTTTTCACAAGAACTATACATTTTTCTTAGTAAAATTTTCTTCTTTGACATCATAAACAGCAAACTATAGTTAAGTAAATGCAATGCTTTATAATATAATATATTTTTTCAATTCAATAATAGAAGTGCTGAAAATTGTTCTTAGAGAGAAATATTTTCAACAGCTCCAGTGGCGCAATTGGTTAGCGCACGGTACTTATAAGACAGTGAATCGTGAGCAATGCCGGGGTTGTGAGTTCGAGCCTCACCTGGAGCAGTTTTTTTTATTTCGAGATTATTTTCTTCATAAATTAACGATGTATTATTAATTGTTGAAAATATATTTTCGGTAAAATTATTTCTTAAAAAATATGTAAATGTATGGTTAAACGAAGATTTATATTAACAAAAGAAAATAACAACAAAAGGAGTTAATTACACAAATAATTTACTTGTATTTATTATTTCGATTTAATTTTATGAAAACCTAATTGGTAAATACCATGCATCTAATTCTGAACAAAGTTTCAATCCAACTGCAAATAATGCGAGAGATGTTAATGTACTTCTGATAAAAGAATCATTTTTTAAGGCACGAATAACACAGGAAAGTGAACAAGTACAAATATCATCGAAATAACTTGTACCCTTATTTAACAAATAAGAATCTATGATGCTTTGCCTTTCTTCAAGTTTGCGTATTCTATTCTCTATAGAAATCATTAAATATTTTAATACTTATCATTCAATAATAACAATATGTAATAAAATATACTTACTTCGCGATATACGACGAGGACAGAATGGATCACATTCCTCTGGAAATAATACAGGCTCTTCTTTATCCACACGCTTTATCTTTTTCATTTTTTTCACTTTTTCTGGAAAAATCAAAACGTTATTATATATTTTTCTTATTTTTTCTATTCTTTCACGTCTTTCTAAAAATTTAGCTATATATATATTTCGAATTCGATTTATCATTTTTCGATATATTTTTAATCATGTACATCGTAATTACCCTCGTCTATGTCCCACTGTGTAGCAGATTCTATATGAATTTTTGGAACTTCTGGAGGATATTCTTTTATAATTTCTGCGACTTCAGGAGGATATTCTTTTACAATCTCTGGGACTCCAGGAGGATATTCTTTTACAACCTCTGGGACTCCAGGAGGATATTCTTTTACAACTTCTGGAACCCCAGGAGGATATTCTTTTACAATCTCTGGGACTCCAGGAGGATATTCTTTTGCAATCTCTGGGACCTCAGGAGGATATTCTTTTTTAATCTCTACGACTTCGGGGACTCCAGGAGGATATTCTTTTTTAACCTCCGCGACCTCAGGAGGATATTCTTTTATAATTTCTGGTTCTTTTTTGATTTTAGGAATCTCTACCACATCTTCTTCTTTGATTGTAGGCTCTAATTCATAAAACTCCCGAAGCTCTGCTACTTTTTCTGGATCATATTCATATTCAATAACTCGTTCAATATCTGGTTTAATATCTGGTCTGATATCTGGTTTAATATCAGGTTTAATATCTGGTGGCTCATAAATTTTTTTATCAATAATTGGTTTTTCACTTGGAGGAAGATCTTTCTTTAAAATCCATGGTGCTTCAGAAGCTGGAAATTGTGTTAATTATTTTGAAGAGCAAAGATAAGTAAAAATATTTCAAATAAAGAACGATGAACATAAGCTATACCTATTTTTTTTAGTTGAATTTTTACCAAAGGACACCATGGTTTGCATGCAGGCATTTAGATTAATTTCATAAAAATCTTTAAAATTGTTTTAAAGATTTACAATAATTCTATCAAACCTTCCATAATAAAAATTTTGATCGAAAAATCGATCTTGCTGGTTATTTGACGGTTTGCTATATCATTAATGGTTGACAAATGATTTTCGTGTATTCAATTATCCCATTGCTCTCTCTTTCTCTCTCTGAATTATACCATACAATATTCGAATAGAAAAATATTTTTGATATAAATTGGTATTTTATACCATCGAAAGAAAATTGTGAAATGAATATTTGTGAAAAAGAATGTTTAAATGAAATATCTGAGTCAAGTTCGGTTACTGGCTCATTATTAAATAATTTTAATAATTGCGATTGTTCTAAATATTTAAAAAAAAAAAAGGAAAAGAAAATCATTACCCAAGAAAAAAATGATTTGTTGCCTTCAAATTATCTTGATCAAACAATATTTTCGTTGTTAATACCTGCATTGGAAGAAGCACTTATCGAAGCATCTAAACAAAATGTTCTTCGGGTATGTAATTTTTAAATTGATCTAATAATGATTTAAATCCTAATTTAAATTTAAATTTAAATTCGAGACTCAAATATTTAATAATACCTATAAATAGTTATAAATAAATCATCAATAGGTACAAAAATGTCGTTTTAATGGTATCGATTATATCGCAGAGATTCTGTGGAATCGTAATCCACGTCGTTCGAAAATATTTTCACCTCCTCTAAATGTATTCCAAATTCCATCATTTAAAGATTATTTGCGTCTTAAGTAAGTAAAAAATCTCAAATGCATATATACATATTTATATATATTTATATATAGTATATTTTATATATATATATATAAAATATACATTTTATTTATTTTATAAAAATTTTATACATTTTATTTATTTTATCTTTAGTCCTAGGCCATATTATCCAAAATCTTGGTTATGGTCCGAGGATAAAGCGGCATTGCACATACAAAGATACATTCGTGGTTGGCTTGTAAGAAAACGCACGGATGTTCAAGAAATGAGACAATTTTGGAAGGTTGGTATAATTAAAAAATAGAAATATATTTAAGATATAATTTTTTATTTCATTCAAACTTGTATTATATTGTATCTTATTTTAATTATATCAATTATTTTACATTTAATTCGTTACAGGATATTGCGATGAAAAATCTCTTTGACAAAAATGATATTCTACAATCTCAAAAATTTTTACGTATGTTTTATTTGAAATTTATATTAGTAATGATATGATTCTTAATATGGTATTAAGATTTTGTTTTTTTACAGATATTTCAGAAGATGAACGCGAAGCTTTAATTAAATGTGAAAAATATCGATCAATAGCACAAAAGTTGCAGGAGCAAAGAAAATCTTTTATTTAAAGATCATACTAAAGGGTAACATCCTAGTTAAAAAAATATTTTATTTTTATTATTATATTATAAGATTCGTTGAATATATAAAATTATATTCATGATATATTCTCTTGCTTAATATTTGTATATAAACTAGGACTTGCTGGTTTTCCTAATCCTATATCAACATTAACTGTAGGAGTTTCACCCTCTTCAGCGATTTTATAGTTTTTAATACCTAAAGGGGCATATTTGAGTTTCAATTTTAAATCGGAAGATTCTTTTTTCAGATTTTTTGTTTGACGTATTAATATTTCTTTCAAAAGAGGTGGAAAGTTTGTAGTTCTTGGCATGATCCTCTGTGTTGGTTGTTGAGTTCTGTTTATATAATTTGCCTCTTGATCTTTAGGAATCAATATATAATCTGGCTTATATGTCACTGTATCTATTTGTACAGGTGTAGAAAGCTTTTTACCTCGGAAAACTTGCTCGACCAATACTACAACATTTCGCGGATCCTAGGATATAGAATTTTTTTTATTGGCAAAATTTTGGCAAATTTTGTTTAAATTATTACATTATAATTATCGTATTAATCATTATAAGGAAGAAGAATGTACATGAAAATGTTTTGAAGTATCCGGTAATGCTGCAACTTTAAGTATTTTCATATAGGATGCTTCAGGATACCTTTGTTGAGTACTTCGTATTACCATTCTACCTACGCCATTGTTCTTCAAATTTCCTAATATTTCCCACAATGGTTTGCCTTTCAAAGAATGCGTTCTACCAATATATTTTATCACCATATTTTGACCACTCAGTACGTTTTTGTTTTTAAAATCGGCTAATTTCTTTTTCACTGAAATAAGGTTAGATTTCTTGTTAAATATAAACAAGGAGAGTAAATAGTAGAAGAAGGACAGATATAAGACAAAAATTCAGAAACCAGCGCCATCTTCAGAATGTCGCAAATGAAATACATAAAGAAAGGATAGTATATAATAGAAAAAGGATAGAGATAGAATAAGAATTGATTATCAGCGCCATTTTCTGAATGCTAAAATATTTTCTCGAAACAAGATAAGAAAAACTAAGAATTGAGGATTAGCGCTAGTCTTGAATGCTGAAAATATATTTCTAGAAATACTCAAAAGATGGCGTCGGTCTTTAATTTTAAGTAATTTTGTACAATTTTGAAAGACACTTATAATTTTCAAACAAAAAAGAATAATGAATCACAGTTAATTTCAAACTATTTATAAGTGTCACAGCTTTAATTTGTATTCTTTAAAAAATAGAAAATTTTATTCAGAAGTCAAAACATTTGTAATTTTTTATTTTATTATATGACTATTAGTGTTGTTTGCTTATACCGCAAAATAGTAGTGTAAATTTTTTGAATAATTTTCCAAATATTTTTCTAATTTTTAACAGAAGAAAATATATAAATATAATTAATATTAATAATAATAATCCCAAAATATTTTAATTTTATAATTATAAATTATAATATTTTATAAATATATATATATATATATATAATTATAAACTTTAATTTGAGCTCTTGAAGATTAAAAAATTTAGTTCAGAAGTCATGAAAATAGTATTTTTTATTTCTTGTTCTTACATAATTAATTTAATTTATTTATCGTAACATGGCTATAGTGTTTTCTTTAATTTTGAAATATAATTAATTTAAAAATTTAATTTTTCCTATAAAATTAATTATCATATTATAATTTAGTATTTGATAATGATGAATAATATATTGTTTATATTATCCAGCAAATTAATTATAGATATAAGACATTTTTTTTTAAATGTAAATTAGATTTTTTGTTTATATTAAAAATTTAATTATGATGCAATATAAATTCATATTGAACAATGATTAATATTTCTAATAAATAAAAGAAAGTAATGAGAAAGGAAATAATGAGATTATACAATGTTTATTAGAACAAAATATAACAAATATATTGCAAATAAAATGCAGTACTTAACGATCCGAATTTACTTCGAATCACTACTCACGAAAAAAACGATAATTATCAATCGTTTACAAAATAATAATTATAATTAATTTACTTAGTATACTATATCTTAGCATACATTCTTATAACATTATAAATTATAATTATATTATAAATTATAATTATCGTAAAAATCTTTGAATCTTCGAGTTATGATGAAATTGTATTAAAATTATAATTAAAAGTTCAATTGAAACATAACAAAGTGGATGTGTTTAAATAAAATCGAAATAATGAATGAAATTATATGATCCAAATATTGGAGGTAGCGAATGATTTTTTTAATAATGAATCAATAACGATTAATAATTTGTTGAATCCAATCAAGATAATAAGAAACACGAGCATAAACTCCAGGAACACCAGGTTGTCCACAACCAATGCCCCATGATACAATTCCTGCCAACTGCCAACGACCATTTCGTTCGCAAACCATTGGTCCACCACCATCACCTTTGCAAGCATCTTTTCCTTCTTCTCCGCCAGCACAAATAAATCCAGGATGTAAATTGAAACCTGGACCTAATCTTGTTCGTCTCATTTGCTGTTCACAGGCTTGGTTGCTTATCACAGGGACATCAACCTCTTTTAAAATATTTTGATACTTTCCAAAATCTCCGAATGCATCTTTACCCCAACCAGTTGTCCAGCATCTATATTATTCCCACAATGAAAAATTAATTTTGAAAGAACGAAATTACGAAATAAGTGAACTTTGAAGAACGAAATAAGTGAGTAAATATAAATAATGTAAAAAAAGTAAGTAAATAAATAAATAAAAATAAAATGCTTACCTGCTTCTAATGAAATCATCGCGTTTGTCCGGTAAACAAGCAGGACTAATGTGTGGATTCTTTTGGAAATCGACTTCATGATTTATTTTCAATATCGCGATGTCGTTATAAAGAGTGCCGGCATAAAATTCTGGATGCACGTGGACATTTGTTACATCACGTTCTATATAGGGATAAAATTCAACATCGTGATTTACATCCCATTCTCCTAGTCGAACGCGAAGATCTCGTGCCGCATAAGTTTTTACACAATGAGCCGCCGTGAGAATATGTCGAGGAGAAATCAGAGTGCCACCGCATACGTATACACTTTCCGTTGGATCTTTTTTCAGTATCGCTACTTGCCAGGGATATTCACCTATCGAATATAAGTGAATTAAATCTAATTGTTGGCTTTACACGAGATCGAGATTTAAAAATCTATTTCTTACCGAATTCAGCATCACCGTCAACGTAAGAAGGAGTTTTAATTCTTCCATTGATTCCTTGAGTATACCTGATTCCGCACTGACCGGGTCGTGGTTTTCTCGATGGTTGCCTTTGCGGACAGCAAACATAACCTGGACCACAAATTCGAGCTGATCCAACGCCTGCGTATTGTCTCTGTTAAAAAAATCAAATTTTTATATATATATATATCATGTCAGAAGTTTAACTATAAATGAATTATATCTATTTATATATATATACTGCGTGTATAACATATCAAATGTTTAAAAATTTTGTCTCCTTGATTTATTCAATTTCGATCGCCAATATTTACCTTTGTTATACGTTTCGTTTCCATTCTCGCTTCAGACTGTATGTCACGCTTTCTTCTATTCGGAAATAAAACTTTGCCACCAGTTTGTTTTGGAATCGTAGATCCATTCGCATGATCGATAGATATTTTATCATTGTTACGCGCGATACCATGATAATTATCCTCGTAATCGTAATTGTAATCGTAATCGTCATCGTCATCTCGATAGTAATCCGAATATCGATGGGGATAAAGTGTCTCACGATGACTCGTATAACGATGGAATAAAGGATCGTGTGGGTTTACGTAATATGGTTTCTCGTAAAACTCGATAGGTTTGAGGGGATAATAATGCGGCGCATACGAAGGTCCATAACTTTCGAACAGCGTTTGCTTCTTGTGAGAGAGCAGATGCCCGAGTTTCTGCACGATATTCCGATTAGGCGTTACGTGAAAATTGACAAACGGTTTTACCACTTTTTCGCCGTATTCGTCTTTGGTGAATTGTACTGCAAGCAGAGGATTCACGGAGACCAGGCCTAAATCTATGCCTTGATCGGTCGAACCGTACCCTCTGTATGGATTTACCAGGACATTGCTACCGTAAGGGTTGATCGGGTACGGGCCACCGGTTTGCGGTAGACCGAAACTGATTCCCCAGGTCGGCTTGAGGTTTAATTTCGAAGAGTCCAGATCGCTAGCGTCGAGTCTCTGCAACCAGAGAGTCGAACCAGTCGTGGATAGAGACCGACATACCTTCCGTATTTTGCTATTTCGTTACGCTATTCGATATTCGTTCGAAATTATAACTCGTATAAATATAAAAACCCGGGACCCTGCCCTCTGACTTTCGCTATTCGAAACGAAACGACGACGACAATATCAACGATTCTATCTAGTGGTTAACTTCTAATAAGTAAAAAAAGTAACAAAACTTGAACATTCTTACCCCTTCACCATTAGACTTCTTTCTTCCTTCGATGTTTACCGATTCGCCATCAGTCGTCGTCGTCGTCTCCCTCTTGTTTCGAGCCTTGTTCGTTTCCTCTGTTTGCTGCTCATCCTTCCGTGTAATAGTTTGAAAATCGTTCGACCCGACGGTAAACGTTTCGTTCGTATTTTTTTCTATCACCACCGCGGCTGTGTCCTCCGTAGATTCGGCCTCGATATTCTTGTTCAGATTTCGAGGATCGATGGGAAGGAATAAATCGTCCTTACGACCTGCTTGTTCCCTTGGGCACTGTCCGTACGGTACACAGACGCAATCCTCCGTATAAAAATCATTGTCGAAGCCTTCGTTGTTTCCATAATAATAACTGCTAGTCGATCCAGAAGTAACGTAATCGTTGGAAGACGATTGAACGGCGTTAGGAGAAATGTAGTTGCCCGGTGAAAAGTATTTGCCAGATTTATAACCGTCCGCCTTAGCATGCAAGTCAAAGTCTTGCATCGGTTTCTCGTATACGGGATATCTTTCAGCGTAGCTACTCGCCGACACGGAACCATCGTTGCTCGTTGTCCCTTTTACTTTGAACGCCTTTTTATAATCATCCAAGTCCTGAAAACCGGCACCGAGCACTCCAGAGTTGGGAATATCGTAACTCGTTCCTATATTTCCAGCACCGTAACTAAGAGACGAAGGGACGCCACCGATCGTTGCGCCACCATTCGCGTGATGATAATGATGATGAACATGTTGCTGAACGGTTTCCGAGCCGATCGTCGGTCTCAACGCGATCTGCTTTTTATCGATCAATTGACCGTTGCCTGCGAATTCGAAATTTTCGTTCGCAACTCCTGCCTCGTATACAGGTCTCGACGAGAATGAGGGATAACCAGGTTTCTTAAACGCGGGATAAGAAGAGGAGGAGACAAATGAAGGTGGATGAGGCGCACCACCAATTCCGTAAATCACTTCTGGCGGTGGTGATCCGGAGGAAATAAATCCAGGCGGTCTTATGGCAGGCGTGTATGGTCGTTTCACAGGTATGGCTGGCAGAGGTCTGCCGACAGGTTTGATAGTTACGGGTTGAGCGTAAATTATATCTTGCGGATATATCCCACGATGAGGAGAGTAATACGGCCGACGTCCCTCGATATTGTCGCACTAAATAATTCGTATTTTCATTTTTACGGGTCTTGTTTTTTTTTTTTTTTTCGATCGAGTTTTTATTTAAATCCATCCAGAATACACTTACGTTCATTAATCCTAGAGAGCACAGTTTATCCCTGATGTACGTACGAGCGATCGTTTCGTTTCCCAATTGAAGTGCGTTCTTCACCTCCGGGTCTGCGTACAATTGATCGAAACCCTCGACGTTGCGACCCTGCCGATTAGACACGAGAATTTCGTCGATCACCGATTCTACCTATAGAAGGCACATCGTTTAAAATAATACGATCGTTATAATTATAGAGAGAGATCATCGTAAGAACTTTCTTAGTCTACTTACGGATCGTTGCTCGTTGGGAGGATTGACGATTTCTATGTTCGAATTTACATCTCCATCGCTGTCTAAAGTAGCTCTTTTCCCTTGTGCCTCACTTTTGCCCGGATTCTCGGGATTATCGGCTTGCCATGACCATTCACCGGGATTATTCACCGGCATTTGCGTCGCAAAAGTGTGAACGACTATTCCGAGTAACCAAACGAACCTCAGCATTATTCTAAGGAGAAAAATCGACGAAAGATTGTATTGTGTCGTTTCTCTTTCTCTTTCCCGTCGAACGATATTAACTCGTCCGATAGAAATTTTTTAAAGAGCGAGGAAAGAGCGAGCGGCGACGAAAGATATTGGAACAATAGTGAAGACCGACCGACAAACCTCAACCGAACGAAAGCGAGAGGATGTTGGGAGAAAGTCGCCAAGCAGGTCTTTGCGCGTCTTTTACACGCCTACGTAGGAAACACATGTTTTCCAAGTACGTCTTCTTTTCGAAAATTTTCGACTTGGGTGAAAGTTGTTGCGTAATATTTGCGCGGTATTTCCACGTATCCCTACTTCGTTCGACGAATATTAAATATGGAATGTATATGTATAACAATGCTTCTGATTAAAAAAAATAATCCAAAATTTTAAACTGTCTGTGTTAAGTGTCTGTGTAAAAGTGAAAACGAAAACGGGAGAAAGTTGAGGAGGAAAGTCAAAAGTGAAGGACGAAACGATCTTGGTTTAATTCTTACCTTATCTTCTTCACGTCGCAACGAAAATTTATCCAAGATTTTTTTATAATCCGCAACTTGACAGCGAAATGCGTCTTCGACGAATCGAGTTTCGCTCTCTAACCAAACGCTTTCTCCATGAACGAGGTTACTCTGTGCGTTCACCGATGCTATTCGTATCTTATATAGACGTCCCTTTCGGAGATGCTGAGACCCCAACAACCAACAACCCACTAGTGGGGTATGGGCTTGTGACTCACGCTTGCCGGACATCCGTTTTGAATAGGTTCTTCGAGTCGCGCCGAGTATTCTTTCAGCTCGCGTGAAATTCGCGCCACACCACGTGCTTTTCCAATTCAACACGCATCGGATCGCGTAATACCCTAGGTCATATTCTCCTTTTATTTCGCTATGAAAAATACAAAAAGCGACGAATTATCATTTTGAAATGATAATATATATATTTACGTATTTTTCGTAAATATATTCATGGGATTTTTCGCCGATAAATAATTGTTAAGCAAAGGTCAATGAATTCAGTTTTTCACATTTCGTAGCGCGGGGAATGACGTTGATGCAGATCGAGAATATGTATATTATATGTATAATATAATGTATGCATATTATAAAAGTTTAATTTTGTTAATTAAAGAAAAAAAAAAAATAAAAATTCAGCGGTGGATCGGGGTCGAGAGACGGATGACGCGACACGAGCGACGTAGGTGCGTACAAATCTACGCAACCGTATTGCATAACTGGGGATTTTCGTTAATAGCTTTACGTAACGTCATCTATAAAGTCTCCTCCTTTATAAACAAGAGTTAATCTAAAATCAACGCATAATTTGATCGGATTAATTATCGAAAGAGATAACTTAACTCCGCTCGAGATTTCGAATAAAATTAAAAATAGAAAAAAGTTTTATTTCATTCAAGTTTATTAGATATTCTAATACAATTTAAATATATATATCTAAACTCGACGTTATAATTATTGAATCGCGAGAAAGCATTATAAGAAAGTTAACAATTTCTCCTCCTATTGCCTTGAAAATGGGAAAGTAAAGGAGCGATTGATTCAACTACGAAAACGTTCCGTGTTTGAAAGCTTCGAATTTTCGATACCGAAAATGTGATGTTGATGAAATTAAAAAAAGTTAAGCTGTTTTCGAACGCCTCTTCAATGTACCATTTCCGCAGCACTTCCGTTCCTTTATAATGCTTTCGAGATCCGGGAGAAAGTGTGTTCCTCTGTTGTTTGTTCAAGAGAAAAAAATTGATCAACTTAAATGCTAGATCGTATCGATATATTAAATTTGTGCGAGTTCGACAACAGTAAAGATCAAATTCGGATTAATTTGCGAACAGTTGTGAAATGTTGGAAACGGATACGATATTGCATAGATGATTACGTAACGCGGATTTTCCACCCTCTCTCTTTCTCATAACCCTCAAGATTTTACGCGTGCCAACTGATCAATCGACTTCGATTCACAGTGAAATCGCAATCCGCTTGCATTTTCGAAAGTACTGGGGAAAACCAGAGGGAAAAGGCAAGAGGCAAATATCGAAATCGTTACGAATTATATTTACACCGAAAATTCTTTTTTCTAAACATTAAATTAAAGATTACGTATTATCATAGATGAATATTATTATTCCTCGCGCATCGTTTTCATATGACACGCCTGAAAGAGTTGGCGCAGAGAAAGCGATGTCTATTTTCACTTTCGATTTCGATTCACGTTTAAGGAAGTGGGCAAGGAAGGGAGGTACGAATATTTGAACGAACATTTTGATTTTACGAATTGATATTTAACTATATATTTCGTGGTTTGCCGAACAAATTTATCGATATAAGATACATGAGAATAATCTATGAGAAGGGAGAAGTCGTATTCTGCACGTTGGTACTGGCTAGATCCAGTTACCGCCCGAATCCAAGAACGAGTGACGTCAGTAGATAATACGATAACCGTGCTGTTCGATCGAGTAAGTGGAAGGTGCTGCCGCCACTTCTATCGGAGGTAAAACTGGCAAGGCGTAAGCGTACGCCGAGATCTGGAAAAAAGGAAACAGAGTTACCTTGCGCGTGTAACAGAAACGAGAAACGATTGGATGAGTAGCTGCTCGATCGAACAACTTTACAGACCTGTAAAGGTGAGAGAATGGGTGCCGCGGCTAGTGGTGTCGCCAGGGGTGCCAAGTTGGCCAGTTTGGTCGTGGAGGCTGGTGTTTTTACGTCGGCCATCATGCTCAGAGATTTGGCAGATGCGGATGAGAGTGGCGGTGCCAACGTTGCGGCTGATTCGGAAGAAATCGGTAATGCAGGCAGTGTCGGGATTGGCGGACTCTCCGTTTTAGCTGGTAACGAGGACGTTGGAGCGGCGTCAACCGTGGCGATCGCGACAGCGAGAACGACCTGAAGGAATCGAGGATTTCTTTTCTTAGGGGGAGGTTAACGCGAAAATTATTATATCTACGAGATCCAAGTAAATGATTCGCGTAAAGAAAAAAAAAAAAAAAGGAAAATTTTTCGTTTTACTCACGAATTTCAGCATGATGAGATTTGCGCGCACAAAAGCTCGTTTATTTCTGACCGTGGATCGAGGGGAATCTCTCCTACTTATAGAGATCTTGGAGGTGCCGTAAAAAGGAAACCCGTCTTCGTTCCTTACACATGTTTGTTGTATTCCTCTTTGACTTCAGGGGCGGGACTTATCCTGTAACGTGGCTTCACCTTGAACGGGCGTGCATGAAAAATCTTAGGGAATATTTTTTTCCCCGACTACCAGCTCCACCAGAAAAATTGACCAGAATAAAGAACGGGAAGGATTTCGATCGAAATTTAATTAAATCGGTGCAGGCAGCACGATCGAATGTAATCGCTGCTCGATACGCTGCTGAAAACTCTTCTATAAGAGTTAAGATGTAACGTTTAATTTTAGATCGAGAGAATCCTTCACAAAGGACAAAGAATAGAACGGAGAATAGAATTGTCGAGGCACGAAAATCGAAACGTAAGCTTGGACGGAACGAGTATCGCGTGGATTGATTGACATAAGCGGGCGTCGAAAACTTGTGACGTAATATGTTGCCATTGAGTTATAATGAAAATTGTCTTCCATCGAAAATCGATTCAACGATGATCGATACGTTGAACCGATATAAAAAGAAAAAAAATAATAAATAAAATTCTGAAAATTCGCTTTCAACAACGCTTAACCGCGTAAAGTTAAAAGTTTTGAAAAAAATAAAACATCGAGATTTTGCGTAAAATCCTGGTGTCGATGCACCCACGTGAAGAAGGGATAAGGGCGGTACCTGTTCGGACGACAAAAATCCACTTGGCGATTGTAACCGGTTCGCAGGGCGATCTAGGTACATATTTCGCTCGTCCTTAAACTCGAGGCCAAGGAACTTTCTAGAATGCTCGAAGGATTAACCATTTTCTCCCTAACATTTTATCCCTAAATTTTCTCATCTCGTAAACTTATCGATCTCAACAGTTATTTACATAGATGGATCGATCTCGAAATTAATAAATTTCGAAAAATAAATGAAAGAAAGAAAAGAAAAGAAAAAACAAATACCAGGAAACAATGGAAAGAATCGGGTAATGACAAAAGACGCATAGGTGAATGAAAATTAGCAAAAATTTATTGACGAAAATTAATAGTCGACAGCTTTGATTTTCGAATCATGTCCGATTCCAGGTGAGATGATCGGGAGGGGGAGGAGAATACCGCGATTGGGAAAAGCACGATCGACTAGAACGGCTGAGATGCGGAGACGTCGCAGTTGCGTGGATTCAGTACGTGGCGACGACCGGGGCGTGAGCGTACACGGCCGCGGCTGGTGCAGCGGCGACGAGCGGTGCGGCTGTCTTGACGACGGCGGCGGTGGCCACGGGGGCGGCGCTGTCGGGAGCTGCCGCAACGAGCGGGCTCTTCACCGATACTGTGTAGGTGTTGGCGTAGCTGGTGGCGACCGGAAGGGTGTGAGCGACCGCGGCCGGGGCAGCGGCGGCCACGGGGGCGGCGTTGTAGGGAGCTGCCGCAACGAGCGGGCTCTTCACCGATACTGTGTAGGTGTTGGCGTAGCTGGTGGCGACCGGAAGGGTGTGAGCGACCGCGGCCGGGGCAGCGGCGGCCACGGGGGCGGCGTTGTAGGGAGCTGCCGCAACGAGCGGGCTCTTCACCGATACTGTGTAGGTGTTGGCGTAGCTGGTGGCGACCGGAAGGGTGTGAGCGACCGCGGCCGGGGCAGCGGCGGCCACGGGGGCGGCGTTGTAGGGAGCTGCCGCAACGAGCGGGCTCTTCACCGATACTTTGTAGGTGTTGGCGTAGCTGGTGGCGACCGGAAGGGTGTGAGCGACCGCGACCGGGGCAGCGGCGACCACGGGCGCGGCGTGGACGGCTGGTGCCAAGAAGCCTGGTGCTGGTTCCGGTGCTGGAGCGGCCAGGGCGCAGGCGAACAGGGCGAACAGAGCGACGAATTTGTACATGGTTGCTGCAGTCGTATGATTTCTACTCGACGAGAGAAAAACGGCTCGAGAAATTCGTACTGGGAATAGCGGCTGAGATCGCTGACAGTCGAATGATGCTTGACCAGTCGAGCGGCTGCCCTTTTATTCGTCCGACTTGACCTCTCCCACCCAAGAACGCGCGCACTCCATTCCATCCGATTCGACCCGGCTTCGTTTCTCGAACGAACGCTGTCCTCTACCACTTACGCGTTTTACCTTCAACGGCTCGGCGTTGTATTCAGGGTCCTTGCGTTTTTCGCTTCGTACCTTCGCGCGCGTGGAGAGAGCATTGCCAAGGCCTTTCGCGCGCCTCGATCTGGATCCGCGTGCTCGAAAGATCCTGGTCGCTCTCTTTTTCGATACCCGCCCGATAACAACTGATCTCCTCGTCTCGTCGATATACGAAGGGAGGGGGAGAACGAATTCGCGAACGAGTATAGCACCGTAAGGTATCGTAAGAGGTACGGACAAATGTCTATAATGGTCGAAGCCCACTTGTATTTCGAGATAATTTCTACTAATTAACCGACCGTTCGTTAATTAATAATACGCGCGAATCCCCGTCTCGTAATCAGATCTCTATTTCTACGTTAACGTAACGCTATCAATACCGATGCGATCGAAGTTAATACCGATACCGATTACGTTATACACATAGGCTTTTTTACTTGGAACGGCGATTAGATTGAGTAACGATTGGTAATCCGTGTTTTAACGCCCACTTCGTTACTTCGTACCGAAAATGCATCGAGGCGCGTCGTTTAGAAATAACAATTCGTAATTAATTTAGGATATTTACTCGTTTTTCGGAATGAAAAGAAAAAAAACGAAAAGAAAGAAAAATCGAATTACGAAAACGAAGCGATCCAACTTGACTTCGCATGGCGTGCTCTGATAATTTACGAGGCGGTCGTGTTCTTTCCGGAATCGGTCCACCTCGTATCTTTCCTCCTTTCCCTTTCCCTCGTTTCGTTAATCTTTTTTTGTCATACGCGACTGACTGGTCGCGTATTTCGCGGCAAGGTCGCGTTTCGTAAATGCCTCCCCCTCCCCCCGCTCTTCACGTCGTGGTGAACGCCGTCCAACGACAAAGTTCGTCCTCCACGAGCTTACACTTTTTTTTTCTTTCTTTCTTTTTTTTTTTTTCTTTTTTTTATCTTTCATTTTCTCCCGTTTTTTCGTCCTTGCTCGTTTCTCTGCAGCTTTTACGAGAATGGAAAGATCGGCGGAGGACTCCGACGCGAGATCGCCGATAACCATGAGCCTAGGCAACGCCCAAATCCGGAAGGCCTTGGCCTCACGTCGGATATCGTGCAAAGACTTTCGGATTACGGCACCACCAGACAGGATTTTCGAGGCTCTCGTCAAAAGTTAACCAGTCGGTCGTTCGAGAAGGGGGATGCTCCGCTATAAAAGTGGCCGCCATCGTTCGAAATCGAATCACTCGAGGTTTCATAGAGATCGAGTACGATATATTTTTAAACAGAAAAAGAAAAAAAAAAA